CCCAACTGCAGTTCATCTGTCCCCCTCCACTGTGCTGCTGGGTATATACTGTTGCAAACTATCCTGGTGCAAGAAACTACACCTTGGCAGGTCCAGTGAGGATTTACTTTGGCTGGGATTGTCCTCCCCTAAGGAGGTGCCCATTTACTTCCAAACCAAAACCCAGCCCCTCTTGTGTGTGACCTGGGGCAGGTGGCTTAGCCACTCTGGGCCTCAGTTTCCTCACTTTGCTAACTGGGTTTAAAAAAAAATAGTTCTTTAGCTAGGTGTGGTGGCAGGCACCTGTAATCCAAGTTACTTGGGAGACTGAGGCAGGAGAATCGCTTGAACCTAGGAGGCGGCAGTGACAGCGAGCCGAGACCAGGCCTCTATACTCCAGCCTGGGCAACAAGAGCGAAACTCCGTCTCAAAAACAAACACACACACACAAATAGTTCCTCAGCCAGGTGCGGTGGTTCACACCTGTAATCCCAACACTTTGGGAGGCCGAGGCGGGCAGATCACTTGAGGTCAGGAGTTTGAGACAAGCCTAGCCAACATGGTGAAACCCCATCTCTACTAAAAATACAAAAATTAGCCAAGCATAGTGGTGTGCACCTGTAGTCCCAGCTACTTGGGAGGCTGAGGCAGGAGAATCACTTGAACCTGGGAGACAGAGGCTGCAGTGAGCCAAGATCGTGCCACTGTACTCCAGCCTGGGTGAGAGAGCAAGACTCTGTCTTAAAAAAAAAAAGTTCCCCCAAGCTGGGCATGGTGGTACATGCCTGTAGTCCCAGTTACTTGGGAGGCTGGGGCAGGAGGATGGCTTGAGCCCAGGGGGTGGAGGCTGCAGTGAGCTGTGACTGTGCCACTGCGCTCCAGCCTGTGAGACAAAGCAAGATCATATCTCAAAACAAAAAACAAAAACATGGCCCGAACATGATTAGGGCTACCAGTGAACATTAGCCTTTACGCCAGTCACTGGGGCAGCGGGACATGACTCAGTTTCCCCCCATCACTGCTGACTCTGCATGTTTTCGTTCCTCCCACTGCAATCGAGGAAACGAAAATCCACTGTCACTTCTCTCTCACCATATCCCTGACTTCTAGCAATGCATGTACTCCACACCAGGCATGTATCACATATTCAGGTTATAAAACCTGACTTTGGGTGAGTGGTTTTTTTGTTTTGTTTTGTTTTGTTTTGAGACGGAGTCTCGCTCTGTCCGTTAGGCTGGAATGCAGTGGCACGATCTCAGCTCACTGCAACCTCTGTCTTCTGGGTTCAAGTGATTCTCCTGGCTCAGCCTCCCGAGTAGCTGGGACTATAGGCACGTGCCACTACTCCCGGCTAGTTTTTTGCATTTTTAGTAGAGACGGAGTTTCACCATGTTGGCCAGGCTGGTCTCAAACTCCTGGCCTCAGGTGATCCGCCTGCCTCGGCCTCCCAAAGTGCTGGGATTACAGGCATGAGCCACTGCGCCCGGCCAGGTTAGTGTTTTGATCTGCCTTCTTCTCCCACTTGGCTTGGACCTCATTCCTTGGCCAGCTCAGACAGCTCTCTGATGTTCTGCATTCTACCTGAAGCTGCTGAAGACCAAAATAGCCACTGAGCATGTGACCTGGGGCGTGGGCTTCCAAACAGGGCTCAGGGGCAGCCTAGAGAGCTCTGCCCTTGGTGTTGGAGGAATTCGGGGGTGGAGCCAGTAAACACCATAGTACCAGCCAGGCACAGTGGCTCACGCCTGTAATCCTAGCACTTTGGGAGGCTGAGGCAGGCGGATCACCTGAGGTCAGGAGTTCAAGACCAGCCTGGCCAATATGGTGAAACCCCGTCTCTACTAAAAATGCAAAAATTAGCCAGGCACGGTGGTAGGTGCCAGTAATCCCAGCTATTCAGGAGGCTGAGGCAGGAGAATCGCTTGAACCCAGGGGCGGGAGGTTGTAGTGAGCCGAGATCGCGCCATTGCATTCCAGCCTGGGTGACAGAATGAGACTCTGTCTCAAACAAACAAACAAAAAATCATAGTGTCCTGGTGAATGGTGGCGAAGTCCAAGTGGAACGGGCTCTCAGTGACCCACACAGCCGGGAGTTCTGGCTCACACCTGTAATCCCAGCACTTTGGGAGGCTGAGGCAGGAGGATTGCTTGAGCCCAGGATTTCGAGACCAATCCAAACAGGCAACATAGCAAGACCTTGTCCTTACAAAAAATATAAAAATTGGCTGGGTGTGGCCCAGCGCAGTGGCTCAAGTCTGTAATCCCAGCACTTTGGGAGGCCTAGGCAGGCAGATCATGAGGTCAAGAGACTGAGACCATCCTGGCAAACACGGTAAAATCCTGTCTCTACTAAAAAAAAAATGCAAAAAATTAGCCGGGCGTGGTGGCGGGCGCTTGTAGTCCCCAGCTACTTGGGAGGCTGAGGCAGGAGAATGGTGTGAACCTGGGAGGCGGAGCTTGCAGTGAGCCGAGATCACGCCACTGCACTCCAACCTGGGCAACAGAGGGAGACTCCAACTCAAAAAATAAAAATAAAAACAAAAAATAAATAAATAATAAGATTTTAAAAAATTGGCTGGACGCAGTGGCTCACGCCTGTAATCCCAGCACTTTGGGAGGCTGAGGCGGGCGGATCACCTGAGGTCAGGAGTTCGAGACCAGCCTCAACATGGAGAAACCCCGACTCTTACTACAAATACAAAATTAGCCGGGTGTAGTGGCACGTGCCTGTAATCCCAGCTACTCAGGAGGCTGAGGCAGGAGAATTGCTTGAACCTGGGAGGCGGAGGGAGGTTGCAGTGAGCCGAGATTGTACCATTGCACTCCAGCCTGGGCAACAAGAGTGAAACTCTGCCTCAAAAAAAAAAAAAAAAAAAATTAAATTAAATTTAAAAAGAAAATTAGCCAGGCATGGTTATATGTGTCTGTAGTCCCAGCTACTCGGGAGGCTGAGGTGGGAGAATTGCTTCAGCCATAGAGGTTGAGGCTGCAGTGAGCTGTGATCGCTCCATTGCTCTCCAGCCTGGGCAAAAGAACAAGATCCTGTCTCAAAAAAAAAAAAACAACAGTGACCCAAGTCCGAGGTCCAGCCCTGTTTCTGAAGATGTGGCCAGAAACTCAGCTTTCATTTTCAGCCTGTTTTTAGAGGAATTCTGGTCTCTGATGAAAGTTGGCAGAATGTGCCTGGGGGCGTGCCGGGTGTTGGGATGCAGCTCTAACAGAACAACATGTCCTTCTCTGGAAGTTCTCATCTCTATGTCAGAGGAAATGGGAAGCCAACCAGAGAGGCTGTGACTATACTAAATGATTTCTGCTTAATAATACCTGGGGGGGGCCAGAGGCGGTGTTTCATGCCTGTAATCCCAGTACTTTGGGAAGCTGAGAAGGGTGGATCACCTGAGGTCAGGAGTTCGAGACCAGCCTGGCCAACATGGTGAAACTTCCTCTCTACTAAAAATACAAAATTAGCTGGGTATGGTGGCACTCACCTGTAATCCCAAGCTACTTGGGAGGCTGAGGTGGGAGCATCGCTGGAACCCGGGAGGCAGAGGTCGCAGTGAGCCAAGATCACACCACTGCACTCCAGCCTGGGCGACAAGAGTGAAACTACGTCTCAAATAAATAAATACATAAATAATTTCTGCTTAATAATACCTGGGGGACTAAATAATCTGTACAACAAACCCCCATGACACGAGTTTATCTATATAACCTGCACATGTGCCCCATAACTTAAAAGTTAAAAAAAATTAAAAATGATTTCTGGCCAGGCATGCTGGTCCACACCTGTAATCCCAGCACTTTTGGGAGGCCAACGGGGCAGATTGCTTGAGCTCAGGAGTTTGAGACCAGCCTGTGCAACACAGTGAAACCCCGACTCTACAAAAATTAGCTGGGTGTGGTGCCACACACCTGTAGTCCCAGCTACTCAGGAGGCTGAGGTGTGAGGATCAGTTGAACCCTGGAGGTCAAGGTTGCAGTGAGCTATGATTGTGCCACTGCACTCCAGCCTGGGTAACAGAGACCCTGTCTCCAAAATAAATAAAATAAAAAAAAAAAAAAAATAAAATAAATAAAATAAAATAAAATAAAATAAAATAAAATAAAATAAAATAAAATGGAAATAATTTCTGAGCTTTATTGCTCTAAAGAGGATGGAACCAGGGACTAAGATGGAAATACTAGGGGGTAGCAGTGGGGTCATTTCAGCCAGGGAGGGCCAGAAGGAACCCTCAGAGGAGGTAATAGGATAGCAGGGAGGTGACAGCCAGAGAAGGCCCCAAGGAGAAAGTGACAGTTCACCCCTCGGAGGAGGTGACAGCCAGGGAGAGGAGGGCCCCCGGGAGAAGGCGACATTGGAACACTGGAGCTGAGGCCTGAAGGCGGCCAGCTTCGCAGGTACCTGCGGGGTGTGTTCCGGCAGAGGGAACAGGAGGTGCAATCGCCCTCCCCCGTTAGCCTCCTAGGACCATGGGGTCCTGCAGAGAACCTTCTGGCACCACACAAATGTGGTTGCCGTGATTTTCCTTTTTTACTCCGTCCTCTCCTACCCCCGCCAACTTCCTGGCCTGAATGCCGCTCCTGTGACCCCTCGAGGTGAGTGACCTCGGGGAAGTGGCAATCTGTGCCTCAGTTTCCTTATCTGGAAAACAGGCCTTGCTCGGGGGGACTCCCCTCCCTAATTCTGGGCAGTATGCATGCATAGGGCAGGCCCTCAATGAACTCTTATAGAATAAAGCACTGGCTTGTCCCCAGCACCTGACTCAGTGAGTGTAAGCAGCTACACCCTACGGCATAAGATGTTCCCATTTTGCAGACAGGGAAACGGAGGTTGGGGAGGACAGTGATAGCCGTGGGGGACTGGATTCAGTGTCGGAGGCAGAGCGCAGGGCGCGCACGCTGCGTCTCGGGACCGCGGGCGCGCACGCCTAGCGGCTGACCGGGGGCGTGGAAGGGGGCGTGGAAGGGGCGTGGCCTTGCGGGCCTGTGAGGCTACAGCGGCTGCAGCTGTCGCGCCAGTCGGAACAGCAGCGGGTCCGAGGCGCAGCCCAGTCCCGCCATGGAGCAGCCGAGGAAGGCGGTGGTAGTGACGGGTACGCTGGCTGATGGGGGCTGTAGCGGCAGCGGCCGGGGCGGCTCCGGGACTGCGGGGCCGGGCGGGGCAGGTGCTGGAAGTCCTCCCGGATTTGGAAGGTGTCATCGCCCGCGGGAGCCCTGCGCAGCCCAGGCTTCCTGGAAAGTGGAAGAGGAGGAGCCTCGGGGGTCCCAGGGTCGGGAGTCAGGGCAGTCAGGCGCGGGGATTGGGGGGCCGGGCAAATGCCCGGCGCCGCGCAGGTCCCCCTGGCGTCCTTTCCTCCCAAGGTAGGGATGGTGACCCTCCTGGCACCTGCCTGCTCTGTCTGGCCTGGACCCTTCCTCCCTGCCCCTTCCGAGGTCCGGCCTGTCCCCACACCGCCCCCACCAACCCCCAGGGGACAAAGGCCGATTTGCGGGCAGGAAGTGTCCCAGTGACAAATGAACCTCCCAGTCACTGCTTGCCGCGCCCTGCGCTCGTGGGGGGCTGCTCCCCCAAGGCAGGGACAGGTGGGAGTCCGGGGATCTCGGGCGCCGGGGCTCTCCCAGCTGTCCCAGGGACTGTCTTCAGCGGAAACCTTTTGTGTTTTGTGCCGGGGCTGTTTGTTGGTGAGTCAGGGCCCCCGCTGTCACCGACTCCCCCCACCCCCAAACCAACTGTTCCTCCTCTCTGAGACTCCGCCTCGGGGCCACGTGGGGCGCAAACTTCCGCTGGGGCCTCAGAGTCAGGGAATAGGGGGTGTCATTTTGACCTGCTGTCTGGAGGGGTCAGAGTGAGAAATCCCGCAAAGGTGCACACAGGTGTTTTGTGGCTGTTGAAGGGAGGTTGAGGCTGATCCTGGAGATTCAGGGAAGAGGGAAAAAAACCAGACACCTGCTTAACAGGTGTGTGTAATTGGGAGGAGGGTCACTGCCCCCACCCCCTCCAGCCTTCCTTGATCTGGTTATTTATTCCAGCACTTTTTGAATGAGCTGATTACATCTTGACTGTCTCCATTTTGCAGAAAGGGAAACTGAGGCTCACAGAGGTCATCCAGTTTGTAAGGGGCTGAGCTGGGACTCAAACTTCGGCTGTACAGAAAGATAGAGTTAGGAGGTCCCCTTCTGAGCCACAGCCCCTACCTGCTATCCCAGGCTACAGCATCTCTGCATAGCATTTATATCCTGTGGGATCACTGGCCCAGATGGACCGTATTTTTTTGTTTTGTTTTGTTTTGAGACGGAGTTTTGCTCTTGTTGCCCAAGCTGGAATGCAATGGCGCGATCTTGGCTCACTGCAACCTCCGCCTCCCGGGTTCAACCAATTCTCCTGCCTCAGCCTCCTGAGTAGCTGGAATTACGGGCATGTATCACTACAGCTGGCTAATTTTTTGTATTTTTAGTAGAAACAGGATTTCACCATGTTAGCCAGGCTGGTCTCGAACTCCTGACCTCAGGTGATCTGCCCGCCTCGGCCTCCCAAAGTGCTGGGATTACAGGTGTGAGTCACCACACCCGGCCCCAGGTCTGGATTTGAATCCCAGCTCTTTCACCTTCTTGCTGTGTGACCTTGGGCAGTTAGCTTCACCTCTCTGTGCCTCAGTCCCTGCTCCTGGAAACTGGGCCCAGGAAAAACCCTCACCTGAAAGGGGATGTGGCCAGGAGGAATGCCAGGAAGATCACTTAGCACAGCCTTGGGCGACTGTCGTGTTTTGGAAAGGGGGGCCTGGAGTTTGAGCTAGCAGTGAGGAGGGTGACAAGGTGAAATCTAGACAGCCCATAGGGCTCATTCCTCATTTGGTGCCGATTCAGGGCATTTCGGGACAGTGACACAATAATTTTAGGTTGGGTCAAGGGGAACAGAGGAAGTGGAGACAGGATCAGGACAACCTTTTTGGAGGCAGAAGAGACCTCTGGACCCTGGCTGAGCAGGAGGGGCCGGCGGAGGTGAAGACAGGAAGGGACCCGTTGACTTCAGAGTGGACAGGTGCAGGACGGCGGCTCTGACGGGCCTCCAGGTGCTTCCAGAACTCAGGACCAGGTCCGCAACGTTGTCCCTGGCAGCTGCGCCCTGAAGCTCCTTGCTTGCTTCTCCAGGTGGGAGTAGCGGCCAGGGGAAGACTGGGACGGGCCGCTCTTGGGTAATATATTGCTTTTCCTGTTTTTTCAGGATTTGGCCCTTTTGGGGAACACACTGTGAACGCCAGTTGGATTGCAGTTCAGGTAACTTAGATCCGGAGGGTGGGAGTCAGGCTTGGAACTGGGCACTCCCCCCCCCCCCCGCAGAAAGTTATGGCATCCAAGAAAGTTTCCTTTCAACAAAATTTTTTTTTTTTTTTTTTTTTTTTTTTTTGAGACGAAGTCTCACTCTCTCACCCGCCAGACTGGAATGCAATGGCACAATCTCGGCTCACTGCCACCTCTGCCTCCTGAGTTTAAGCGACTCTCTTACCTTAGCCTGCAGAGTGCCTGAGATTATAGGTGGCTACCACCACGCCTGGCTAATTTTTGTATTTTTAGTAGAGATGGGGTTTCACCATGTTGGCCAGGCTGGTCTCGAACTCCTGACCTCAAGTAATCCTCCTGTCTCAGCCTGCTAAAATGCTGGAATTACAGGCATGAGCCACTATGCCCAGCCAGCTCTTACAAAACCATGTCAGATCCACATATCTTCCTGGATGGTAACCACTGGAGCACACATCTGTTGAGTGTTTGTTTGCAGCCCAGAACTCTGAATCCTCCCAACAACCCCTACATAGTAGGTGCAGTTATTGCGCCCACTTAACAGAAGAGAAAACTGAGGCCCAGGGGAGAGACAAAGGGAGTTCTCTGAGGTCACACTGCCAAGAAATGGGAGTGGCATTGCTTCAGAAGTGCCCCAGGCCCCAGCCAGCAGCTAGATCTGGGTCTGGAGGGCCAGGTGTGGATATAAACATAGCTGGTTTCCAGGACACAGCTGTTTATGTGGTGCTGGCATCTACTTTACCTAGGAATTATCCAACTCTAGGATCTCCCTTTTTTTTTTTTTTTTTTTTTGAGACGGAGTCTCACTCTGTCGCCCAGGCTGGAGTGCAGTGGCACGATCTCTGCTCACTGTAACCTCCGCTTCCCAGGTTCAAGCGATTCTCCTGCCTCAGCCTCCAGAGTAGCTAGGATTACAGGCGCCCTCTACCATGCTAATACCGGCTAATTTTTGTATTTTTAGTAGAGACGGGGTTTCACCATGGTGGCCAGGGTGGTCTCAAACTCCTGACCTCAGGTGATCCACCCTCCTCAGCCTCCCAAACTGCTGGGATTACAGGTGTGAGCCACCACACCTGGCCAGGATCTCCCTCCTTTTTAACAAAAATTTTTTCCATTGACTCAGACAAATCGTGACTCAGGTTGGTTTCTGAACAGCCAAACTGAGAATTCTCTGGTATGTTTTGGGCAGGTAATTCATGGTTTCGGAAGGACCAGGCAGGAATACGTGGGGTGGGGTGGCAGGGGGACATGTCTTGACCTTGTAGGAGGGGGTACGGTGAGCCTCGCTGTCACCTCCCGGCAGCTGGGGGAGGAAAAGATGGCATATTAGGGGCCGAGGGGGGCTGTCATTCCGGGTGCCCTGAACAAGATGCCAGCCTGCAAAACCTTTCTAGTTTCTTTCCCAGATGGAGTATTTTGTAGGGACAGGCTGGGGAGCAATGCACAGAGAGAAACAAGGAAGTGTTTTTTGCTTATATAAATCAGATCGGCAGAGACCAGAGCCAAACTCCTGTTTATCCTAGCCTACTTGCTGCCTGATTGAAAGTAACCTCTGTTCCCACTCCAGAATCCTAGATTTGGAGAAAAATCTAAGTTGAAACCTCAGCGTGGCAGTTCCCAGCTGTACCCCCCATTTTTTAATCACCCCCTTCCCTCCCCAACTTAAGACCTTAAAGTTTTGGCTGTTTCCCTTTTTTTTTTTTTTTTTCCTTTCCTGCCCACTTTGTGAACGGGACGGAGGGACAGGGTCCCGGGACCCTGCAGATGGGAGCGTGCCCGAGGCCCTGCCTGCTCACCCGTTCCCCGGAGAGCCAGACAAAAAGAAACAGCGTGTTTCTGAAGACTTGTGTGTCAGGCTTTGTGCAGATTTCAGACAGGAGCCTTCACGGGGCTGAGTGGACACAAAGCCGGGTGTCTGAATTCCTGGGCCCCAGACACTGTGATCTGCATCTAAATAGAAGAAAAATCAATTAAACAATCTTTGGAAATCCCTCTGAGCTTCGGGGCTTCTTGGATGGTGAAGGATGGCAGGTTTTTATCCTGTGGCCGGAGAGGAAATAGCCCTTCTCCTTGGTTATCCTCTCTCCAGACCTGCAGTTGCCACTTTTTGCTTTCTTTTTTTTTTTTTTTATCTGGAGACACCGTTTCGTTCTTGTTGCCCAGGCTGGAGTGCAATGGCATGGTGTCGGCTCACTTCAACCTCCACCTCCTGGTTCAAGCGATTCTCCTGCCTCAGCCTCCCTAGTAGCTGGGATTACAGCTGCACACCACCACGCCCAGCTAATTTTTTAATTTTTAGTTCAGACGGGATTTTGCCACATTGACCAGGCTGGTCTTGAACTCCTGACCTCAGGTGATCCGTCCGCCTCGGCCTCCCAAAGTGCTGGGATTACAGGCATGAGCCACTGTGCCCAGGCCCACTTTTCGCTTTCTTCCTGAAGTTTAGGACACAAGATCCCCCACCATTCCCCTGCTAAAAAGATGCCAACCTTCTCAGATCTGATTGTTTCACTTAAACAAAACAAAACAAAGTTTAACATATATACACCCAGGACACTCATTAGTGAAATTTTAGGCCTGGCATGATGGCTCACGCCTGTAATCCCAGCACTTTGGGAGGCTGAGGTGGGAGAATCACCTGAGGCATGGAGTTCGAGACCAGCCTGGCCAACATAGCAAGACCCCATCTCTATTAAAAAAATACAAGCCGGGCGCGGTGGCTCACGCCTGTAATCCCAGCACTTTGGGAGGCCGAGGCGGGCGGATCACAAGGTCAGGAGATCGAGACCATGGTGAAACCCCGTCTCTACTAAAAAAATAGAAAAAATTAGCCGGGCGCAGTGGCAGGCGCCTGTAGTCCCAGCTACTCGGGAGGCTGAGGCAGGAGAATGGTGTGAACCCGGGAGGCGGAGCTTGCAGTGAGCCGAGATTGCGCCACTGCACTCCAGCCTGGGCGACAGAGCGAGACTCCGTCTCAAAAAAAAAAAAAAATACAAAAAATTAAAAAAAAAAAAAATACAAAAATTAGCTGGGTGTGGTGGCACATGCCTGTAGTCCCAGCTACTCAGGAGGCTGATATGGGAGGATGACCTAAGCCTGGGGAAGGTAGAGGCTGCAGTGAACCCTCGGTGTCACTGCACTCCAGCCCAGGTGATAGAGCTAGACCCTGTCTCAAAAAAAAAAAAAAAATTTGATCAGGCACAGTGGCTCACGCATGTAATCCTAGCGCTTTAGAAGGCTGAGACTGGTGGATTGCCTGAGGTCAGAAGTTCAAGACCAGCCTGACCAATATGGTGAAACCCCGTCTCTACTAAAAATACAAAAGTTAGCCGGAAATCGCTTGAACCCAGGAGGCAGAGGTTGCAGTGAGCTGAGATTGTGCCACTGCACTGCAGCCTGGGTGACAAAGCGAGACTCCGTCTCAAAAAAAAAAAAAAAAAAAAAAAAAAAAGACATTTTACATATGTATACTCCCAAGGCCAGGTCAAGATCTCAAACATTCTCTGGTTCTTCCTCGAATTCTTCACAGAAGCCTCACACAGCCTCTTCCCGAGTACTCCCGAGCCCTCCAGTTGTAAACCTCTGCAGATTTTTTTGTGCCACTAGGTGAATTTTGCCTGTTCTAGAAGTTGGCGGGAACAAGCGGCTTCCAGGTCCCACACCTCTGTGAGAACCACCCCTGGAGCTGCTGTCTGGTTCCTTCTTGTCCTGGATTTGCCTGTTAGAAAGGTGTTCCTGCTGGATGGGTTGAATCCATTCCTCCAAAAAATGTGCCCTGGAGTGTTGTTGGTGTAACGCAGGCAACTGTTGCTAGGTGTCTTCTCCACCCGAAGATGGGTGATCTGTTCTGCGCTGTGGGTGGCCATTGCTTCCTGCCCTGACGGATTTTTCAGAAGCTCCTCCTCCTTCAGGGACCTCCTAAGTACTTCTCTGTGTCTCTCTCCTCTTGCTCCTTCTGGGTCTCTCTGTCCCTTTCCCCTCTTCTATCTCTGTTCATCTCTGTGTCTCTCTTCATCTCTCTGTCTCTGTCGCTTTCACCTCTCTCTGTGTATGTGTCTGTTTCTCTCTTGTCTCCTTGTATCTTTCTGCCTCTCTGGGTTTCTCTGTTTCTTCCCACCTCATCCCCTCTTTCTCTCTCCGTTTCTCTCTTTCTCTCTCTTTTTTTTTTTTTTTTGAGATAGGGTCTCACTCTCGTCCAGGCTGGAGTGGAGTTCAATGGTCGATTGAATGAGCGAGGTGAGCGCTCATTCTTGAGCGCTCACCTCATCCTTGACCTCCCGGCCTCAGGTGATCCTCCCAGCTTACCCTCCCGATTACCTGGGACTACAGGCATGCACCACCACACCCAGCTAATTTTTTTTTTTTTTTTTTTTTGGTAGAGATGGTATTTGGCCATTTTGCCCAGGCTGGTCTCAAACTCCTGGGCTCAAGCCATCCTCCTGTCTTGGCCTCCCAAAGTGTTGGAATTACAGGCATGAGCCTCCATGCCGAGCCTTCTCTGTTTCTCTCTGTCTTCCTGTCTCTCTGTCTCTCTCTGGGTCGTACTATCTCTTCCCCTTTCTCTCTTTTTCTATCTTTGTTTCTCTCTGTGTGTCTCAGTTTCTCTCCCTGTGTGTGTCTCTGTCTCCTTGTCTCTTTCTCTCTGAATCTCTCTTTCCCCTTCCATTTCTGTTTCTGACTCCATCTCTCTGTCTCTTTTTTTTTTTTTTTTTTTTTTTGAGACAGGGTCTCACTCTGTCATCCAGGCTGGAGTGCAGTGGTGCCATCTTGGCTCACTGCCACCTCTGCCTCCTGAGTTCAAGCGATTCTCCCATCTCAGCCTCCCAAGTAGCTGGGACTACAGGTGCATGCCACCATGCCCAGCTAATTTTTGTATTTTTAGTGGAGACAAGGTTTCACCATATTCGTCAGGCTGGTCTCGAACTCCTGACCTTGTGATCCGCCCACCTCGGCCTCCCAAAGTGCTGGGATTACAGGCAAAGTGCTGGGATTACACTGCGCCCAGCCTGTCTCTGTCTCTTCTGATCCTCTCTCTTCGTCCCCTGGGCGAAGTCATACCCACAGCCTAGGTGGAACTGTTTCCCACCCACAGTGTTCAGGAGGTAGGAGCTGGGGGGGTACAGAGGGGATCCCCCCTTGTCTTTCCTGGGGTGGTGGCTACCCCCAGCACCCCAAGCAGGAGGCACCATGTGTCTTGTGTGTCCCATCTCCCCTCTCTCTCAGGGTGGACTGGGGCACTGGCTGTGTTTCTCTTCTGAGGAGGCGCAGGTGCATGTTAAGGGCCGGGGAGCTCTGGGGCTCAGGGCCATCTGGGGCGTCTCTTGCCCAAGCTGGGTGAGGAGGACCCGGGTCACAGAACTTGGTAACATCACAGGACAATTGCTGCCACAGTGAGTCTAGACAGACCTGCTAAGGATATTACCAGGGAACAAAGAGGGTCTTTGTTGTGGGGTCAGGGGAATCGGTCAGACGAGGCTGCGCGGCGGGGTCCTGTCAGGTAGATGGGGTGTAGACAATGGGGCGTCTGCCCGAGCCCCGTCCTTTCATGGTGTATGCTCTGGTGGTGCGTGAGGCCGGGTATGCTCCCAGCAAAGTGATGTGGGACTTGGGGTGCCCTGCGCCCCTTCTCCCAGAGGAGAACCATCCAGCCCTGTTGGAACAGAGCGTGTTCAGAGGCTAAGACTTCAGCCAGATTACCAGCCATGCACTTCCTTCTAGTGCCAGATACACTGTATGGCAAGCGGCTCCCCACTGTTACCCTATTTAAAATTGAGGGATAATTTACATCAGGCAATGTGAACAGACCTTAAGTTTCCCCATCACTTTGGTGAAAAACTTTCTTTTTGTTTTGAGATGGGGTCTTGCTCTGTTGCCCAGGCTGGAGTGCAGTGGCACAATCATAGCTCACTACAGCCTCGACCTCCTGGACTCCAGCGATCCTCTTGCCTCAGCCTCCCAAGTAGCTGGGACTTAGGCAGGCACCACCATGCCTGGCTAATTTTTTCAATTTTATTTTTTGTAGAGATGGGATCTCACTGTATTGCCCAGGCTGGTCTTGAACTCCCGGGCTTAAATGATCCTTCCACCTCGGCCTCCCAATGAAGCTGGGATTACAGGTGTGAGCCACCAAGCCGTGCCATCAAGTGGGTCTTGCCAAAAGCACATGTGAATACCTCTCGTGATTGCATGCCTTGGGGTATGTGTATATATGTTGACAGTGGTTTTCTTTCTCTCTTTCTTTCTTTTTCTTTTCTTTTCTTTCTTCAGAATCTCACTCTGTCATCCAGGCTGGAGTGCAGTGGTGCAATCTCAGCTCACTGCAACCTCCGCCTCCCGGGTTCAGGTGGTTATCATGCCTCAACCTCCCGGGTAGCTGGGACTCGGCTAGTTTTTGTATTTTTAGTAGAGACACGGTTTCGCCGTGTTGGCCAGGCTGGTCTTGAACTCCTGGCCTCAAGCAATCCTCCTGCCTCGGCCTCCCAAATCGCTGGGATTACAGGTGTGAGCCACCCACCCCTGACCCTGTTTTTCTGAATACAGCTTTCCCTGTTGACTTTTAAAGTCACACATCCCATGAGATTCAAGGCATCACCTTGTGCCCATTAGGGAAAAGACAGAAAAGAGGCAGATCTGTTGATATGGGACTATGGGTTGTTTTATTTTATTTTTTGATTTTGTAAAACATTGACATGGTTCAAAAGTCAAAATCATGTGATGAGTTTTTTTGCAGAGAAGTCTCCCTCTCGTCCCCATCCCCTGCTTCCATTCCTTCCTTGTCCAGAAGGTGGCGCAGTCTCGCCATAGGTCGTGCCTGGAAATCCCTCCAGGTTGGTCCAGACAGAGATTACTCTTTTAAATATTTTAATTTTGTTAATTTTGATGAAATCTAGTTTATCAATTTTTTTCTTTTATTGTCTGTGCTTTTTGTGTCATTTTGGGTGTGGGGGCTTTTCTTTTTTTTTTTTTGAGATGGGGTCTCACAATGTTGCCCAGGCTGACCTCAAACTCCTGGCCTCAAGTGATCCGCCCCAGTAGCTGGGATTACAGGCATGAGCCACTGTGCCTGGCTGCTGATTTGTGTTTTGTTTGTTGGTTTGTTTTGAGACAGAGCGAGACTCTGGCTGGAGTGCGGTGGTGTGATCTTGGCTCACTGCAACCTCCACCTCCCAAGTTCAAGCGATTCTCCTGCCTCGGCCTCCCGAGTAGCTGGGGCTACAGTCACACACCACCACACCTGGCTAATATTTTGTGTGTTTTTAGTAGAGACGGGGTTTCATCATGTTGGCCAGGCTGGTCTCAAACTCCTGACCTCAAATGATCTATCCGCCTCGACGTTCCAAAGTGCTGGGACTACAGGCATGAGCCACTGCACCCGGCCTGCTGATTTGTTTTTAAGAGAGAAAAGAGCTCTGTGGGTCTCCTCTTGGAGATTAGGGGAAGATGCATTTACAAACTGTAAAGTTTTCTCCTCTGGGACGTATTGAATATGAGGTGGGAAAACCAGGCTTCAGTGTGATGATCTCTCTCAATAGCAATTGTGTATTGACTGATCTGCAGTGCAGCAATGCCCTGTTTGGCATTTATTCCCCACCCATCAGCATGAGAAGTTTGCATGAGGACGTTCGCTGCAGCATGGCTTTACAATAAGGAAAATCAGAAGCCACTTAGATGTTCCAATGTAGGGGAATGTTTAAATCCATGGTGACCAGTTTCTGAGACGGAGTATTACGCAGCAGAGAAAAGGGTACGCTGAGATCTCCGTAGAGTAATGTAGATAGATCTCCCAGATAGACTGCTGAGTGGAGCAAACACAGTTGCAGGATAAAATCAATGGCTGGGCACAGTGGCTCATGCCTGTCATCCCAGCACTTTGGGAGGCTGAGGTAGGAAGATCACTTGAACCCTGGAGGTCAAGGCTGCAGCGAGCGCTGATGGTGCCACCGCACTCCAGCCTCAGTGACCGGAGCTGGACCCTGTCTCAGAATTTTTTTTTTTTACTGACTATGAATGGAAAAGCAGCAGTAAATCTTTTTAAAAACTTTACTTTGGCCGGGCGCAGTGGCTCAAGCCTGTAATCCCAGCACTTTGGGAGGCCGAGATGGGCAGATCACGAGGTCAGGAGATCGAGACCATCCTGGCTAACACGGTGAAACCCCGTCTCTACTAAAAAATACAAAAAACTAACTGGGCGAGGTGGCGGGCGCCTGTAGTCCCAGCTACAGGGGAGGCTGAGGCAGGAGAATAGCGTAAACCTGGGAGGCGGAGCTTGCAGTGAGCTGAGATCCAGCCACGGCACTCCAGCCTGGGCGACAGAGCAAGACTCCGTCTCAAAAAAAAAAAAAAAAAAACAACTGCTTTTGGCCAGGCGCGGTGGCTCTTCCTATAGTCACAGCACTTTGGGAGGCCAGGCGGGTGGATCATGAGGTCAGGAGATGGAGACCATCCTGGCCAACATGAGTGAGTACGTCTCTACTAAAAATACAAAAATTAGCCAGGCGTGGTGGTGTGTACACTGTAATCCCAGCTACTCGGGAGACTGTGGCAGGGGAGCTCGCTTGAACCCTGGGCGGAGGTTGCAGTGAGCTTGGAGTCGTGCCACTGCACTCTCCTGTCTGGGCGACAGAGCGAGACTCCATCTAAAAAAAAAACTTTTATATTGCTGTTAGACTTTGTCTCAATACAATTTTTTTTTTTTTTTTTGAGACGGAGTCTCGCTCTGTCGCCCAGGCTGGAGTGCAGTGGCGCAATCTCGGCTCACTGCAAGCTCCGCCTCCCGGGTTCACACCATTCTTCTGCCTCAGCCTCCCAAGTAGCTGGGACTACAGGCGCCCACCACTGCGCCCGGCTAATTTTTTCTATTTTTAGTAGAGACAGGGTTTCACCATGGTCTCGATCTCCTGACCTTGTGATCCGCCCGCCTCGGCCTCCCAAAGTGCTGGGATTACAGGCGTGAGCCACCGCGCCCGGCCACAATTTTTTAAAAAGGATAAAATCGAGCCAGGCATGGTGGCTCACGCCTATAATCTCAGCGCTTTGGGAGGCAGAGGTGGGCGGATCACCTGAGGTCAAGTTGAGACCAGCCACAAATGCTTGTGGAGAAACCCTGTCTCTACTAAAAAATACAAAAATTAGCCAGGCGTGGTGGTGCATGCCTATAATCCCAGCTACTCGGGAGGCTGAGGCAGGAGAATCGCTTGAACCCAGGAGGTGGAGATTGCGGTGGTGAGATCATGTGACTGCCTCCAGCCTGGGCAACAAGAGCGAAACTCCATCTCCAAAAAAAAAAAAAAAGATAAAATTGATGTAAAAACAAGCCAGGTGTGCATTGTTTGTACTGTAATAGTCTCAACTAGGAAGGCTAAGATGGGAGGATCACCTGAGTCTAGGAGTTCAAGACCAGCCTGGCGATGTGGTAAGACCCCATCTCTAAAAGCAAAAATACTATGGGATTTCTCAGGTGTGTGAATAAGAATAGAAACGGAGTCTCCTGGCCGGGCGGTCAGCTCAGAGGCTGTAATCCAGCACTTTGGGAGGCCGAGACAGGCGGATCACGAGGTCAGGAGATCGGAACCATCCTGGCTAACACGGTGAAACCCCGTCTCTACTAAAAATACAAAAAATTAGCCGGGCGTGGTGGTGGACGCCTGTAGTCCCAGCTACTCCGGAGGCTGAGGCCGGAGAATGGCATGAACCCGGGAGGCGGAGCTTGCAGTGAGCTGAGATCGGCCGCTGCCTGTCTGGGGCGACAGAGCAGACTCTGTCTCAAAAAAAAAAAAAAAAAAAAAAGAAACAGGTCTCCATGGGGCTGAGTGCAATGGCTCCTGCCTGTAATCCCAGCACTGTGGGAGGCCAAAGGGCGGATCATTTGATCTTAGGAATTGGGAGACCATCCTGGCCAACATGGCGAAACCCCGTCTCTCTAAAAATACAAAAATTAGTTGGGTGTGGTGGGCACCTTGACAATCCCAGTACTCGGGAGGCTGAGGTGGAAGAATCTCTTGAGCCTGGGAAGCAGAGGTTGCAGTAAGACAAGATTGTACCACTAAATGACTTTTGATAATCCATCTCAAAAGAAAAGAAAGAAAGAGAGGGACTCATGCCTGTAATCCCAGCACTTTGGGAGGCCGAGGTGAGCGGATCACGAGGTGGGAGATCAAGACCATCCTGGCTAACACGGTGAAACCCCGTCTCCACTAAAAATACAAAAAATTAGCCAGGTGTGGTGGCGGGCACCTGTAGTCCCAGCTACTTGGGAGGCTGAGGCAGGAGAATGGCATGAACCCGGGAGGCGGAGCTTGCAGTGAGCCAAGATGGGACCTGCAGTCAGCCTGGGCGAAACAGCAAGACACTGTCCCAACAAAAAAAAAAGGAGGAAGAAACAGATCTGCATGATGTGTACCTCATGCCTATGCCTCTGTGGTGTGAAGATGGGAATCAGTGCAGGTTTGTTAAGGGAGGAATGGATGGTAGGACCTTTGAAAAATATAATTGTTTTTTTTTTTTTTTTTTTGAGACAGAATCTTGCTCTGTCGCCTTGCTCTGTCGCCCAGGCTGGAGTGCAGTGGCATGATCTGGGCTCACACTGCAACCTCCACCCCCCAGATTCAAGCCATTCTCGTGCCTCAGCCTCCTGGGTAACTGGGAGTACAGGCGCGCACCATCATGCCCAGATAATTTTTGTATTTTTAATGAAGACAGGGTTTTTCCATGTTGACCAGGGTGGTCTCGAACTCCTGACCTCAGGTGTTCCACCTGCCTCAGCCTCCCAAAGTGCTGAGATTACAGGCGTGAGCCACCATACTCAGCCACTTCTCAGTGTTCTTGAGCTTTCTTCTGGGATACTGCTGAGTTACTTGGAAACAGGTTGAATTTTTTTTTTTTTTCCCCCTTGAGACAGAGTTTTACTCTTGTTACCCAGGTTGGAGTGCCGTGGTGCAATCTCGGCTCACTGCAATCTCTGCCTCCCAGGTTAAAGCCATACTCCTGCCTCAGCCTCCTGAGTAGCTGGGATTACAGGGACCTGCCACCACGCCCAGCTAATTTTTGTATTTTTTAGTACAGATGGGGTTTCACCATGTTGGCCAGGTTGATCTCAAACTACTGACCTCAGGTGATCCGCCCAAAGTGCTGGGATTAAAGGCATGAGCCACCACGCCTGGCCTTTTTTTTTTTTTTTTTTTTTTTTTTGTGGGGTGGATTTTTGCTCTTGTTGCCCAGGCTGGAGTGCAGTTATGTGATCTCGGCTCACTACAACCTCTGCCTCCCAGGTTCAAGCAATTCTGCCTCAGCCTCCCAAGTAGCTGGGATTACAGGCGTATGCTACCACACTGGCTAATTCTTGTATTTTTAGTAGAGATGGGATTACACCATGTTGGCCAGACTGGGCTCGAACTCCTGACCTCAAGGTGGTCTGCCTACCTTGGCCTCCCAAAGTGCTGGGATTACAGGCCTGAGCCACCGCGCCCGGCCTGATACTCTGTTATTCCCATTTTACAGATGAGGAAACTGAGACTCTGAGAGGTTAAGTGGATTACCCAAGGTCACACAGACAGGATTGAGTCCAAGGAGCCTGGGATTTAACCCCAGGGGCCATAGAATCATGTCACCTTCCATAGAGATGCAGAGATACTTCAAGGCAAGTGGGTGGGGAAGGAAATGAGGGGCTTTGAACTCAATCAACACTCACCACTTCCCATCCTGCAGAATAAGTCAGAAGAGCGGCCTGTTTGTTTCACCCCCAGGGAGCGCATTATCCCCATAGCTGCCGTCACGGGCCACGACACTCCCACTCTCTTCTCTTCCAGGAGCTGGAAAAGCTAGGCCTTGGGGACAGTGTGGACCTGCACGTGTACGAGATTCCGGTTGAGTACAAAACAGTCCAGAGACTCATCCCTGCCCTGTGGGAGAAGCACAGTCCACAGGTGAGTGGTGCCGAGGGGTGGTGCTTCCTCATCAGGACTTACAGGTTGGCACCCTTCATGTGGAGGACTTAGGTGGCTTTGTTCCTGATCGGATCACGTGACCAATTCCACACGGTCTTGTCTTCAAAAGGGCTTTTCAGGCCTGGCACGGTGGCTCACGCCTGGAATCCCAGCACGTTGGGAGGCCGAGGCAGATGGATCACCTGAGCTCAGGAGTTCGCGACCAGCCTGGGCAACATGGCGAAACCCTATCTCTACTAAAAATACAAAAAATTAGCCGGGTATGGTGGCGGGCACTTGTAGTCCCAGCTACTCGGGAGGCTGAGGCAGGAGAATCGCTTGCAACCGGGAGGCGGAGGTTGCAGTGAGCCGAGATTGTGCCATGGCACTCCAGCCTGGGCAGCAGAGCGAGACTTAGTCTCAAAAAACCCAAAGGGTTATCCAGGCCAAGGGTAGTGGCTCATGTCTGCAATCCCAGCACTTTGGAAGACTGCGGCAGGAGGATTGCTTGAGTCCAGGAGTTTGAGACTAGCCTGGGCAGCGTAGTGAGACCCCATCTCTACAAAAAAAATTTAAAATTAGGCATGATGGTGCATGCTTATAGTTCCAGCTATTCAGAAGGCTGAGGCAGGAGAATTGCTCGAGCCCAGGAGTTTAAGACTATAGTGAGCCAAGATTTTTGTGCCACTGCACTCCTGCCTGGGCAACAGAGCAAGATCCTGTCTCTTACAAAAACGAACAAACAAGACTGGGCATGGTAGCTCACGCCTGTAATCCCAGCACTTTGGGATGCCAAAGTGGGCGGATCACCGGAGGTCAGGAGTTCGAGACCAGCCTGGCCAACATGGTGAAACCCTGTCTCTACTAAAAATACAAAATTAGCCGGGTGTGGTGGCACACATCTGTAATCCCAGCTACTCAGGAGGCTGAGACCAGAGAATCACTTGAACCCAGGAGGGGGAGGTTGCAGTGAGCTGAGATCACACCATTGCACTCCAGCCTGGGCGACAGAGCAAGACTCCATTTCAACAAACAAAGAAACAAATAAAAACACTGCGCTGGCATTTTAACAGCTGCATAGTAGCTCATTATTTATTGAACTAACTCCCTCTGGGTGGCTAGTTAGCTTGTTTCCAGTATTTGATTTCGATAACAGGAAGAGCTGCAATGAACAGCCTTGCATGTTTCAAATTCTTGCCTGTCTTACGTGGCATACCTTTTTGCAAGAGTGACTGCGGGGTCTATTCCAGCAGCAGGAGGTCAGAAACAACACAACCCCAGGCAGAGCCCAGTAAGGATGCTGCCTTTTCCTTGGCCTCAGGGGGACCTCCTCCGAGTCCCATGGGCAGGCCATGTTAAGTCCTGCCCCTGTCTGTATGCAGCTGGTGGTGCATGTGGGGGTGTCAGGCATGGCGACCACAGTCACACTGGAGAAATGTGGACACAACAAGGGCTACAAGGGGCTGGACAACTGCCGCTTCTGCCCCGGCTCCCAGTGCTGCGTGGAGGATGGGCCTGAAAGCATTGACTCCATCATCGACATGGACGCTGTGTGCAAGCGAGTCACCACGTTGGGCCTGGATGTGTCGGTGACCATCTCACAGGATGCTGGCAGGTAGGGCCCTGTGGGGTGGGGGTGAGTGGGGATTTCCCTCCTCCACTCGCTGAGTCTGGTGTGGAACAAGTCAAGTGTGTTGACCTTGGCCTCTTTGGACCAAGCACTCAGTGTATACGAGGCACAGAGCCAAGTATTTGTATGTAGCAGGTGCTGTCGATTCTGCTTCTGGGACTCATGGATCTGCCCACTTCTCCCCACCATCACGGTCCCCACCGCGGCCCCCAGCATCTCCCACCTGGATAGTGCCCCAGGCTCCACCTCAGTCTTCCTCCCTGCTGCCTCCACCGCAACCCAATCAGTCAGTTTCTGTGTTAATTTCCTGGAGCTGCTGTAACAAATACCCACAAACTGGGTGGTTTCACATAACAGAAGCATATTGTGTAACAGCCTTGGAAGTCAGAAGTCCAAGGTCAAAGTACTAGCAGGACTGGTTCCTTCTGGAGGTGCTGAGGGTGAATCTGTCCCAGGCATCTCTCCTGCAGCTGGTGGCTGCCAACCATCCTTGGATTGTAGACACATCACTCCAGTCCCCGCGCCCATCCTCACATAACCTTCTTCCGTTTGTGTGTGGCCATATGGTCTTCTTATTAGGACACCAGTCATATTTAGGACTCATCCTAATCCAGTATAACCTCATCTTTTTTTTTTTTTTTTTTTTAATTTTTTTGAGACGGAGTTTTGCTCTTGTTGCCCAGGCTGGAGTGCAATGGCGTGATCTCAGCTCACTGCAACCTCCACCTCTTGGGTTCAAGCGGTTCTCCTGCGCCAGCCTCCCAAGTAGCTTGCACCACTACGCATGACTAATTTTGTATTTGTAATTATAGGCATGCACCACTACGCATGACTAATTTTGTATTTTTATTAGGGACAGAGTTTCTCCATGTTGGTCAGGCTGGTCTCGAACTCCCAACCTCCGGTGATCCGCCCACCTCCGCCTCCCAAAGTGTTGGGATTACAGGCGTGAGCCACTGTGCCCAGCTGACCTCATCTTAATGTAACTAATTACGTCTGCAAAGATCCTCTTTCCAAATAAGATGGCATTCTTTTTTTTTTTTGAGACGGAGTTTTACTCTTGTTGTCCAGGCTGGAATGCAATGGTGCAATCTCGGCTCATTGCAACCTCCACCTTCTGGATTCAAACAACTCTCCTGCTCCAGGCTACCAAGTAGCTGGGATTACAGGCATGCGTCATCACGCCCAGCTAATTTTTTGTATTTTTAGTAGAGATGGGGTTTCACCATGTTGGTCAGGCTGGTCTCGAGCTCCCGACTTCAGGTGCTCCATCCTCCTCAGCCTCCTAAAGTGCTGGGATTACAGGCATGAGCCACCAAACCTAGCCCAAATAACGTCACATTCTGAGGTCCCAGGTGAATATGAATGTTGAGGAGATGATCCAACCTATTGCAAAAGTTCTTTTATAAATTTAAATCAGGGCCAGGTGCAGTGGTTCACACCTATAATCCTAGCACTTTGGGAGGCCAAGGCAGGAGGATCACTTGAGCCCAGGAGTTCAAGACCAACCTGGGCAACATAAGGAGACCCCATCTTAACAAATAAAAAAATGGCAGACTGAGGCGGGAGGATTGCTGGAGCCTGGAATTCGAGGCTGCAGTGAGCTGTGATAGCGCCACTGCACTCCAGCCTGGGTAACAGAACAAGACACTGTTGGCTCTAAATAAATAAATGCATGTGTCCCTTTCCTAGACCTTCCCTATGGCTCCCATTGCACGTAGAATAAAATCCCAACCCTGGTGCTTGGCCCGCCTCTCCACCCTGCTCTGCCTCTAATCACCCCATGTCCATCGCAGTCCAGACACATAAACCGGCTTCCTTCTGCTCCTCAAACACACCAAGCTCACTCCAGCCTCAGGGCCTTTGCATGCCCTATGGCCTCTGCCCAAAACACCTTCCTCTGGGAACTCCTCTTTCCAGTCTTGTTTTTGTTTTTGTTTTTTGAGATGGAGTCTCGCTCTGTTGCACAGGCTGGAGTGCAATGGCGCAATCTTGGCTCACTGCAACCTCCGCCTCTGATGTTCAAGTGATTCTCCTGCCCCAGCCTCCCAAGTAGCTGGGATTACAGGCGTGCGCCATCATATCCGGCTAACTTTTGTATTTTTTGGTAGAGGCGGGGTTTCGCCATTTTGGCCACACTAGGGTGGTCTCGAACTCCCGACCTCAAGTGATCCACCTGCCTCAGCCTCCCAAAGTGCTGGGATTACAGGCCTGAGCCACCGCGCCTGGCCCTCTTTCCAGTCTTAACTCCAACACGAGTCACCTCCTTGTGACTTTAGGCCTCTCCAACTCCCCAGACCAAGTTATACCCTCCCAGCACCTGCTTCCTCACTTCTCCCTAATCTGTGCACTTGTCCAACTCAAAGGCGGCTGTTGGTCAGTGCAGTTGATTGACTGAAGGAAGGAGTGCCTGGATTTACCGTCAGAATTTTTGTTTTTGGAGAGAGGGTCTCACTCTGTTGCCTAGGCTGGAGTCCAGTGGTATAATCAGGGCTCACTGCAGCCTCGACCTCCTGAGATTAAGTGATCCCCCTGCTCAGCCTCCCGAGTGGCGGGGACTACAGATGCACACCACCACATCCAGCTAATTTTTGTATTTTTTGTAGAGACAGAATCTTGCTACATTGCCCAGACAGCTCTTGAATAACTGGGCTCAAGTGATCCTCCTGCCTCAGCCTCCCAAAGTGCTGGGATTATAGGCAAAAGCCACCGCACACCACTGAGTTCTTTTTAAAGCTACCGTTTTTTTCTCCTTTTTAATTGAAAACTAATTGTTATTTGTTTGTTTGTTTTGGCGGGATCTCATTCTGTAGCCCAGGCTAGAGTGCAGTGGTAAAATCACAGCTCACTGCAGCCTTGACTTTTTGGGCTTAGGTGATCCTCCCACCTCAGCCTCCCAGGTAGCACAACCAAACCCAGCTAATTGTTTTTTTTGTTTTTTTTGTTTTTTTTTTTTTGAGACAGAGTCTTGCCCTGTCACCCAGGCTGGAGCCAGGCTGCAGTACCGTGGCACAATCTTGGCTTGCTGCAACCTCCGCCTCCTGGGTTCAAGCGATTCTCCTGCCTCAGCCTCCTGAGTGGCTGGGATTATAGGCGCCCGCCACCACACCCAGCTAATTTTTGTATTTTTAGTAGAGATAGGGTTTTATCATGTTGACCAGGCTGGTCTCAAACTCCTGACCTCAGGTGATTCGCCTGCCTCGGCCTCCCAAAGTGCTAGGATTACAAGCATGAGCCACCGTGCCTGGCCTAATTTTATTTTATTTTATTTTATTTATTTATTGTTTTTTTTGAGACTGCATCTAGCTTTGTCGCCCAGGTTGGAGTGCAGTGGCTCGATCTTGTTTCACTGCAATCTCCACCTCCTGGGTTCAAGTGATTCTCCTGCCTCAGCCTCCCGGGTAGCTGGGATTATAGGCACCCACCACAATACCAAGCTAATTTTTGTATTTTTAGTAGTGATGGTGTTTCACCATGTTGCCCAGGCTGGTGTTGAACTCCTGAGCTCAAGCAGTACGCCCACGTTGACCTCCCAAGGTGCTAGAATTACAGGTTGAGCCTCTGTGCCCAGCCCAATTTTTTTTTTTTTTTTTTTAAGACAGAGTTTTGCTCTTATTGCCCAGGCTGGAGTGCAATGGCACAATCTTAGCTCACTGCAACCTCTGCCTCCCAGGTTCAGGTGATTCTCCTGCTTCAGCCTCCCAAGTAGCTGGGACTGCAGGTGCCTGCCACCATGCCCAGAAAATTTTTGTATTTTTAGTTGAGACGTTTCACCATGTTGGCCAGGCTGGTCTTGAACTCCTGACCTCAGGTGATCCACCTGCCTTAGTCTCCCAAAGTGCTGGGATTATAGGCGTGAGCTACCGCGCCTGGCTGCCCAGCCCAATTTTTTTGTATTTTTGATAGAGACAGGGTGTTGCAATGTTGCCCAGGCTGGTCTCGAACTCCTGGACTCAAGGGATCCTCCCACCTCAGCCTCCCAAAGTGCTGGGACGACAGGTGTGAGCCACCATACCCAGCTTCCATCAGTCTCTTTATAAAATTAATTTTTAATTACAGGTAACTCTAGAACGTATCCTCATATATCTAATTGGGAAAAATTCTCATTCCCTCTCTTTTTCCATAGTGGTCCCTCTGATAAGTCAGACACTGAAACCATGAAGCTCCTACTGACAGACATGTTTCTGTACATATATACATCACTTGGCCTGCTGCTTTACGATTTTGTCTTGTTTTGCTTTGCTTTTATGTGGATGGAGTCACACGGCGAAAGTCACACTTTACTGACAATTCTCTTCCTCAGCTTTCATTTGTGAACATTGAACATGCATCTGGTTGGCCGGGCGCGGTCGATCAGGCCTGTAATCCCAGCACTTTGGGAGGCCGAGGCGGGCAGATCACAAGGTCAGGAGACCCAGACCATCCTGGCTAACACGGTGAAACCCCGTCTCTACTAAAAAAAAAAAAAAAAAAAAAAAAAAAATATATATATATATATATATATATATATATATATATATATATACACACACACACACACAAAATCAGCTGGGCGTGGCGGTGGGCACCTGTAGTCCCAGCTATTGGTGAGGCTGAGGCAGGAAAATGGCGTGAACCTGGGAGGTGGAGCTTGCAGTGAGCCGAGATTGCACCACTGCACTCTAGCCTGGGTGACAGAGCAAAACTCCGTCTCAAAGAAAAAAAAAAAAAAAACATGCATCTGGCGAGTTCTCCATTTTTTTCTGGCTATACCACATTCCTTGTAAATGGTTTCATAGGATTCCATGGTGTGGATAAACCAGAGTTTACTAAGCCACTCCCTGTGGTGGTGACCCATGCCTGTAATCCCAGCATTTTGCGAGGCCGAGGCAGGTGAATCACTCAAGGTCAGGAGCTCCAGACCAGCCTGGCCAACATGGTGAAACCCCAACTCTACTAAAAATATAAAAATTAGCCAGACGTGCTGGCAGGCGCTAATCCCAGCTACTCGGGAGGCTGAGGCAGGAGAATTGCTTGAACCCGGGAGGCGGATGTTGAAGTGAGCCAAGATCGCAACACTCTACTCCAACCTGGGTGACAGAATATGACTCCGTCTCAAAAAAATAAATAAAAATAAAAACTGGAAATAGGGCCAGCCATAGTGGCTCACACCTGTAATCTCAGCACTTTGGGAGGCTGAGGCAGGCGGATCACTGGAGGTCAGGAGTTCGAGACCAGCCTGGCCAGCATGGTGAAACCCTGTCTCTACTAAAAATACAAAAATTAGCCAGATGTGATGTGGTCCACGCCTGTAATCCCAGCTACTCGGGAGGCTGAAGCAGGAGAATCGCTTGAGCTGAGGAGGCAGAAGTTGCATTGAGCTGAGATTGTGCCACTGCACTGCAGCCTGGGCAGCAGAGCCAGACTCTGTCTCAAAAAAACAAAACAGAAAATATAGCTGGTGGTGATGGTGCACACCTGTACTGGCAGCTACTCAGGAGGCTGAGGTAGGAGGATCGCTGGAGGCCAGGAGTTTGAGGCTACAGGGAGCTGTGATTGCACCACTGCACTCCAGACTGGGTGACAGAGTGAGACCCTGTCTCAATAAACAAACAAAAAATGGAAATACCAGGTTGTAAAGCCTGGGTGATTATAATTTTACTAGCCTGCCAAATTGCCTTCCACACGGGGATAACCAGTGTTCATTCCCACCAGCAACAGCTCACTCTGCCCATTTCCCCACATGTGCCACAGCACTGGGAGTTATCAAGGTTTTTGTTTTTGTTTTTTGTTTTCTTAAAAGAGACAGGATCTCACTCTTGCCCAGGCTGAGTGCAGTGGTACAATCAGGGCTCGCTGCAGCCTCGACCTCCTGGGCTCAACCAGTCCTCCCGCCTCCACCTCCTGAGTAGCTGGGACTACAGGCACGCACCACCACCCCTGGTGATTTTTTTCATCTTTGCCAACCTGGGGAGGGAGGAGAGCGTTATTCCATCTTGTGGGCGGCTGGTGAGGCTGGGGTCTTCCCTCGAGTTTGGATGAGTGCTGTCTCCTTGGTCTGCGGATTGCCCCTCTGACCCCGTTTTGGTCTCTCTCTTACCTGCCACGCCCTGCGGCTTAGATATCTCTGCGACTTTACCTACTACACCTCTCTGTACCAGAGTCACGGTCGATCAGCCTTCGTCCACGTGCCCCCACTGGGGAAGCCGTACAACGCAGACCAGCTGGGCAGGGCACTGAGAGCCATCATTGAGGAGATGCTGGACCTCCTGGAGCAGTCAGAGGGCAAAATCAACTATTGCCACAAACACTGAGGAACGCTCAGGTCTCCTAAGACCTCATCCTGCTGGGGACCCCACGAGGGGACATCCACCCTCTGGGGTGTGGCCAGGAAAAGACAAGCTCTTCAACTTGGGGATCCGATCTGGAAGAGAGATTTTGATCTGCCCATCTCCTCTTCCTCCTCCTGTACAAAAGCTCCGGTTGATTTGAGGGAAGTGGCTGAAAATTTTCTTTGCTCCCGTTTTCCTCCCTGCATCTGGGGACACAGCTGCCGTGACCAGGGAGGCCAGCCTGAGGGGTCCAGATGCCCAGAGAGAATCTTGGTCTGGTGGGTCCATGAGCTGCGATACCATAGCTGGAGCCACGTGTTCACCTGCTTTCCTGTCTGTTGGTGAAGGAATTTCAGAATTCACTTTATATCCAAGACTGGCTTTTACCAAATTTAAAAGCCTCTCAATGAGTCCTCGACCTTGACCTGTGCTCAACAGCCTGGCCCTTTCTGGGACTACCCTGGGATATGGCATATTTTTTTGTTTCTTTCTTTCTTCTCTCTCTCTCTCTTTTTTTTTTTTTTAAACCAATAGTGCCAGTTTGTGCACAGAGTAATTTATATTCCCTTTGGTTAAAATGCAGGCTTTTTGGCCAACAACAAAAGTGTCTTTTTTCCCCCCATGCCGGGGTGAGGCCACTTTTGCCTCCTGCCCTGAAAATTGGACCTAAGATGCCATGTCTTAGCTGGGCGCAGTGGCTCATGGCTGTAATCCCAGCACTTTGGGAGGCCAGGGTGGGTGGATCACTTGAGATCAGGAGTTCGGGACCAGCCTGGCCAACATGGTGAAACCCTGCCTTTACTAAAAATATAACAGTTAGCTGGGAGTGGTGATGCATGCCTGTAGTCTTAGCTACTTGGGAGGCTGAGGCTAGAGAATCACTTGAACCCGGGAGGCAGAGGTTGCAGTGAGCTGAGATTGCACGGCTGCACTCCAGCCTGGGTGACAGAGCGAGATTCTGTCTCAAAAAAACAACTGGACTTAAGATGGCATGTCTTGGTTTTAGGGCCAAAAATGAGGCCACCTTGCTTAAGGCATGGGGTTGGTGGCCAAGCGACGGGGTGGGACTGCTGCCCCAGATGTGGCCATGAGGGTCGTGGTCCTTTCAACACCGAGCTATGAGCTGTCGCCATGGAGACCAGGGCCATCTGTGGGAAGGCGGATTTTGTCTGATTTTGACTTTTCTTTTTTAATATGTAAAACTCCACAGCAGCGGAAACCCCCCCCTACTTCTGGCCTGGAGCTTCAAGGTTTTGGTGCCGGAACGAGTTTGTTGTTCCCTTAGCAGGGTGGTGGGGGGGTCTCAAAACGGAGGCCTGGGGGCTGGAGTTGGCAGCTTTGCATGTCCCGGCATGTCTGAGCAGGAGGAATTCCGGGCGGCCAAGGCGTTTTATGTAGATTGGTTTTGGATCCTCGCCCAGGAGTCAGGAGTCAAATTTTATCTCACTTCCTGGTAACCTTGAACTCTAGGCAGGGATGAAATGATGTAACGTTCCTCAGATGATGTAAGTTCAGCCAGATCTTGATACCCATCAGGGAGAGAGGACGACCCCCACAGTGAAACCAATTGAGTGAAATGCACGTTCTGGAAATCAGTTTCTATTTTGGCCTGGGGGAATGTGGCTATACTGTTTCCCTGCCTGTGACACAGTTGGAATCTGATCTTGTTGGTTTCCCAACATCTAGGGTTGTGTGTGTGTGTGAGAGAGAGACAGAGAGAGAGAGAGAGACAGGGTCTTGTTCTGTTGACCAGGCTGGAGTACAGTAGTGTGATCATGGATCACTGCAGCGTCCACCTCCTGGGCTCAAGTGATCCTCCCATCTCAGCCTCCTGAGTAGCTGGAACTACAGGCATGTACCACCACACCTGGCTAATTTTTAAATTTTTTATACAGACAGGGTTTCGCCATGTTGCCCAGGCTGGTCTCGAACTCCTGGACTCAAAGCGATCCTCCCTTCTCGGTCTCCCAAAGTGCTGGGATAACAGGCACTTATTATCCACTTATGAGCCACTGATCCCAGCCCAGTTCTTTTTTAAAACAACTGAGAGTTTTGTTTTCTTCAGCGTTCACCTTCCTTGTCTGCAGTTGCAATGCTGGCAGTGGTTCCTACCTCTGTTGGGTTTCTAGATCGTTTGGGAACTGGGTTGATGGGTTTCTGTGAAACACGTTTTCCAAGCCTTGGGCTTTCTCTGGAGGGGAAGGTGGATGCTGGTAGGTGACTTGCAGTAGGTGCCTGGCAGTGGGTGTGGACTGTGATTGGCAGGTGGAAATGAGTAGGGACACTATTGTTCCCTCCACGCCAGCCTTCTTTTTGCTCGAAATGCCCCCTCCACACTCCTGGTAGCTCTCTGTGTCCTGAGAAATCTGGAGTGTGGGAGGCAGCACGGCATCTGTCCCCCCAGCTTCTGTGAAGGGAAACTGTGGCCTCTTTTGAATGTGGGGAACAACTGAAGACTCAGGGATCACCCAGAGGTCTTGTGGAAAACAACTTCAGACTTCATCTTGCTCTGTTCCTCAAAGGTCTCGTCTGTGGGCCTCTGAGGAGAAAACAGGTCTAGCTAAGACGGGCAAAATGGGGAAGACGGTGTGCCAGGCCTGAACTGAGCTAAGCACCTACCCCAGGCTGCATCTTTCTTTTGTCTTCATTTCACCTCTGTGTTTAAAGCACCGTGTCACATAGCTCCTTAGAGATATAACCTATTGTCTGCTCATTGTCGAGTGTGTGTGTGTCATCTTTGTGTTCTTGCAGGAACATTTGTGTTCACATTTCCTCACCGAGTCAAGCCAGTATCCCATCCTTCCTCATAATGCACAACATTTGGCTCATTAAAATTTTCTCATTGTTATTTTTCGTTCTTATTTTTTGAGACAGACTCTCACACTGTCCCCCGGGCTAGAGTGCAGTGGTGTGATCTCAGCTCACTGCAACCTCTGCCTCCTGGGTTTACGAAAGTCTCCTGCCTCAGCCCCCCGAGTAGCTGGGATTACAGGTACACACCACCATGCCTGGCTAATTTTTGTATTTTTAGTAGAGATGCAGCCTCGCCATGTTGGCCAGGCTGGTCTTGAAATCTGACCTCAGGTGATCCGCCTGCCTTGGCCTCCCAAAGCGCTGGGATTATAGGTGTGAGCTACCACGCCTGGCCGAGTTTTTTACAAATATTTTTCTTTTGGTGGAACTCATCTATGCACTGTATGGTGTGTTTTTCCACCTTTGTTGGGTCTCAGCTTAGAATAGTCTCGTGTGGGCTAGGTTTGGTGACTCACACCTGTAATCCTAGTACTTTGGGAGGTTGAGGCAGGAGAATCTCTTGAGCCCAGGAGTTCAAGACCAGCCTGGGCAACATTGCAAGAGCCCCCACATCTACCAAAACATACAAAAATTAGCCAGATGTGGTGGTGCATGCCTGTGGTCCCAGATACTCAGGAGGCTGAGGCAGGAGGATCACCTGTGCCTGGGAGGTTGAAGCCCCAGTGAGCCATGATCACAACACTATAGTCCAGCCTGGGCAACAGAGCAAGACCCTGTCTCAAAAAAAAAAAAAAAAAAATCCTCATGCAAGAAGGTAAGGACCAAGTCCCATTCCCTCTCGCCTCATTTTCAGAGCCTGGAGTAGGGGCTACAGGTGGCATAGGAAGGGTCTGCAAAGTGGGTGGGACTTGGCAGGTGTTGGGAAGAGGAATAGGAGTGGCGAGTGTCAATGGTGGAAAGACAGGCTGAGGGGTGTGGTGGGAAGGCTGGGGGAGAAAGGTGAGAAGTGATTGGGGGGCTTCCCTGATGAGCCCTCATGGAGGGTGCTGAGGCAGGGAACAGGGGTACAGGGACAGTGATCGGAGCACCTGGTGCCCTGACCAGCTTGATGATGGCATCTCTTTTAAGATGCCCAAGTCTGTGCACTTTATTCCTTTATTCGGCCCCTAGCACCCCCTCCCCACCACAAAGGTCAGTGGTTTGTGTGTGGGGATGTAGCTCAAAAAAGAAATAAGATGGAGTGGAAAGGAAAGAAAGGAAAAAGCAGGAATTCAAGGTGAGTGGGCTGAGCTTGGGGCCACCTAGCCTACCTGCTCCAATCAAGGGCTGGAACAAGCCTGAGGCCACTTGGAGAGGCAGGGCTGGGCAGGGACGGGGGTGGGGGCCGAGTTCACAGCTTCTCCATCAGAGCCAGATGTGTGGAGGAAATGTCCCAGATGGCAGTAGTTTCTGGGCAAGGAGGGGAATCCTGTAGATGGTTCATGTCTATGATCCCAGTGCTTTGGGAGGCTGAGGTGGGAGGATTGCTTGAGCCCAGGAGTTCAAGACCTGTCCTGGGCAGCGTGGCAAGACCCCATCTCTACATAAATTTAAAAAAAAATATTAGCCAGGTGTGGTAACAAGCACCTGTAGTCCCAGCTACTTGGGAGGCTGAGTTGGGAGGCTTATCTGAGCCCAGGAGGTGGAGGCTGCAGTAAGCCGTGATTACACCACTGTACCCCAGCCTGGGCAACAGAGAAAGACCCTGTCTCAAAATTGAGGAAAAAAAGGGGGCCAGGCATGGTGACTTACGCCTGTTATCCCAGTACATTGAGAGGCCAAGGCAGGCTGATTGCTTGAGGCCAGGAGTTTGGGACCAGCCTGGCCAACGTAGCAAAACCCCGTCTGTACTGAAAATACAAAAATTAGGTGTGCACCTGTAATCCCAGCTACTCAGGAGGCTGAGGCGGGAGAATTGCTTGAACCTGGGAGGCGGAGGTTGCAGTGGGCCGAGATCACGCCACTGCATTCCAGACTGGGTGACATAGCAAGACTCTGTCTCAAAAAACAAAAACAAAACAAAAAAAAAAAAAAATGGAATTCCCTGCTCTGCTCTTCTGCTCGTTGCTGGCGTAGAAACATCTAGAACAGAAAGTATCCACTCTGGGGCAGATGGAAGAGCTGGAGAAGTAGATTCAAGATGCCTTTTAGTATTGGAAGTTTCTTCCAGGAAGCGAGACCAGCTGGTATGTTTACATCTGCACTCCCGTGCCCAGGGGAGGCGACTGGGTGGAGGGGATGGCTCATGGAAATCTGCCCCGCACAGCCGGCCCCCTTTGGGCTGCCACTGTCTAGACTGTTGGCCTTTGACCTCTCCGCCTCTTGTGGTGTCTGAACCTAGACATCCCTTTTGGAGAGAGCCGGACAAAGCCCTATTCTCCATGGCCTCGGCCTCTATCCTGAGGCCTCTGGGAGCCGTGTGATCCTGCGGCCAGTGTGGGGTGCTGATGATGGTCGAGGAAGCAGGTCTCTGCCAGGTTGCCCATGCAGCCACCCGTCCTCAGCATCCTAACTTAAGGGGGCGGGAGAGGCCTTTGTTTGTATAATCCAGATTAAATTTCCCTTCCCTGGGCACAAGTGCCTCATAAGGGCCCGGGGCTGCTGGCTGGGAGGGAAAGTGTCCCCGGTTTTGCAGTGAGGAGGCAGGCTGAGGGCTGGGGTTCCACTTAGACCCTCGGCAGAATGGCTGTTGGAGGGGCAGGTGCTGCCCAGCTGGAAAGCTAATTCCTGGGTGGATGCTGAACATACCTGCTGAGAATCTGTCCCCTGGTTTCCACGACAGTTGTCACAAGCTGAGTGGCAGGGAACTCCCAGGCCTTGAGGGACCCAGTCCCACCCCAAACTGCTCCGCCTCCCCCAAATTCCCTTTCTCCTCCTCCTCTTTCTCCCCGCCATGGCTCCCCGAAGTTACCCACAGAAGTGCCTGCCTGTCCAGCGCTCACAGAACACACAAAAAGGGGACAGGAATTGGTCACTGGGTGGTGGCCGTGGCTCCTGACGATCCAGACCAGCATCTGGCCCAAGCCATTCACAGAGGTGGAGTCTGGGGCCTGAGGGCTTTTGTGTCCTGACACTTTGTCTCAAGGAGATCCCACATAGGGATTTGAGTTAGGCTTTCTGCTTGCCAAGGCCTGTGGCATCTGAGCCTGGCTGAGGGCCAGGCAAGCTTCCCCTGAGCCTTTCTTTGGAAGCCGAGTTCATTCTCTGC